GTTTGAAATATCCAATAAATTTCGTTCCACTTCATGATTGTGTCCCACTTGTTGTTGATTCTTCACAAAAAATTACAGTTTTATATCTTTATGTTTGAAGCCTGAAATGTGGCAAAAGGTCGCAAAGTTCAAGGGGGCCGAATACTTTCGCAAGGCACTGTATATATATCACCATATGTGCTGGCGTTGTGAGTATTTTATGCACATGGCACAGCTACGGTAGCATCACTTATTAGTCTATAATGTCCTAACATTGCAACAGGATGAGTGATTTCCTATTGATACTGACCTCAGGTGCTTTCTACATGTGAGACAGGTCTGCTATGTTACACACAGATTCCAGGTGTTGTAAACATGTGGCACACAGCAGCAGTCTTCAGGGTGAGCCCAGCTCCATGGGGCCGGCATGGTCAGTGTAGCTGATGTGTCACTGTAGAGAAAGGCTGATCATTTCACACACACAAGAATTTCAGTGTTTCATCAAACAGACATTGAAGTAGAAATTCTAATAAAATGTTATAGCAAACCAGTATTTTACACCTGCTTTGGCTTAGGCATCACACCAGTTCCAGTGCTCAGCCTGCTAAGTTTTCATACATACGTGAAAACTCAGTCTGCAACTGATTATTACTCTGTGTACAAATCACTGAATCAGTGCAATGCCATTTCTTCTTATCTGATCACCCTGTGTAGTGCTGCACATTTAGTAAACATTTTAAATGGGAGAAAGAGGTCAAAGCAGGAAATGCCATTTTGTGCCTTCACATATATTATATTATATTATGTTATATGGCAGTAAGAGGGTGTGTTCACTGCAGGACCTGTTGTCAGTGAACTCTGGAGGTTCTTAAAGTGCCGATGGTAAAACACAAACAGACACAACAGACTTGCAAGGTCTTTTATATCTCCCATGTTCCATGATGGAAGTCAGTTGTGTCACTTTTGTCAGTGTCAGGATGGAAGATATGATCATCTGGAAGAAATTAGAGTGAAACTGGTGAAAACACAACTTGTGATACAAACACAAGTAGCTCTACAGTGAATAAAGACATAAACGAAGGTGTTAATGAAGTACCTTCATTTACTACTTACTGCAGACACGCACACACACCTACCTTTCTTCCCACTACAACCATTACAGTGCAGACTTAATGGGATTATCCTCTTTGCTACAACTGAGACTTTTGCTTGTGGTTTTCTTTTTCAACCAGTAGCCATAGTTGACTGTCACCGAATTTGTCAGAACATGCATAATGAAAAATCTGAAAAAAGCATTAGAGAGGGAAACATTTCATGGAAAGTGTGAATCATTATACTTTTTAATTCAACAGATTTTTATGTGGTGCTCTAACAGGACAGTGGATCAAAAGAAGATGCATTTTGTAACACTTTCACTCCTAGTGACAAACCCACAAATATTTTTCTGTTTTATTATAACAATGAGTATTGGACTTACAATTACCATATTCCCCGAAACACCACTCACACACACACATATATATGTATATATATATATATATGTGAAGAGACAGCATCAGGAGAGAAGATGTACCAAAAGCCTCCCAATTTACAGTACTGTGCAAAGGTCTTAGGCCATCATTACATTTGTTGTATTAGTAGTGTAATGATGACTATAAATATTTATCAGAATACAAATAGAAAATATAGTAAATACAGTATGGACACCATACAAAAAAACAAAAATGTCAGAAGAAAATCAGCAAACAAACCTGGACACTCACAGCTCAAGCTATTCTAAAGAAATATGAAGAATTTGGAGAAGTCAAGGACAAAATTAAGAGTTGAGACGAAGCTGTCAAAACCTGATGAGAAGCTTCTCAGAGTTTCTTCTTTGAGAGACCAAAGGAAACCCAGCAAGGACCTGGCTCAGCATCTGGCAGCTTCATACAGATGCCAGGTTGATCCTTCCATAGTCCAAAGAAGCTCAATCAGGAACAACCTTTGTAGAAGGATGGCAGCCAAGAAACCGCTTTTTCAAAATGGGGCCATGGAGAAGAGGCTAAGGTATGTAAAAGCTTGCAAAGATTGAAGTGAAGATCAGTTGAAAAGTCTTATGAAGGGATGAATCGAAGTTTAAAATTTTCAGGTCCAGTCATCGACAGTATGGGGGAAGAAAAGCTGGAGAGAGGTGGAAGATTGAGAGCTGGCAGCCTTCAGTGAAATATGGTGGAGGGTCTGTCATGGTTTCAAGACATCAAGACAGTCTCCCCAAAAGAACTGTGCAATGGGAGGTCACACTAAACACTGGCTTAGAACTGTAGAAGCCATTTTGTTAAAAAAAAAAAAAAAGTGTACATACTGTATTTCCTGGTTATATCTTAAGAAAAAAGAAAAAAAAAAGTATAAATAAAATTATCATTACAACCTCACTAAAGCACCTAAGCTAATGGTGGCCTGAGACTTTTGCACAGTACTGTATATCCAATATAATGTGATAAAAATTAAATAATAGAAATGTTTCATCTGAATGTTCAGTCACAAATGATCAAACTCATGGATCAGTGTCTTATGTGTGTAAAGCTTCACGCATGCACGCACACACACACAAATATATACACAGTATTTAAAACATAATACTCATGAAGCTTACCTCTTTATTTACAAAGACACTTTTACAAAGTAATAAGAATATTAACTCCCTGTCAAACAACAATTTGCAACTAATCTGAAAAATGGTAATCAAGAAATGGACTAGATGGAATCAGTACTCATACCCAACATGGGAAATTTACAAAACAGCCAACACTAGCTTGTAAAACACGGTATGTAAAAGGTGTTAAAGACAGAACAGCAAAAAATAAGGTGTGACACCTTGCAGTCCAGTTTTTTGTTCATTTCAATTCCAAAAATTTTCTAAAAAGGCTACCAAAAAATACTTAAAGTCTAAAGAGTAAGAGAGAGACAAGAGTTGTTTCTCAATGTAACACAATCAACACAAGACCCATTGACAAAGCTGTGAATAACCTGTCCAGAGATTCAACTACCACATCACAACCTCCTAAGACACCTCCCTCTCCCCTTCGTCAGGGTATTTCTTCATGTAGTCCTCAACCACTGAATCAAGATCATACTTAATATCATAGTTCATATACAAAAGAGCAAGACTTTTTGATTTGAATTTGTCAGGCATGTTCTCCATATACCTCATGAAGCGCTTATATGCCACATCACAGCTGTCCTCCAGAGCCACAGTAGGCAGGATGCCAAGCAGCTTCAGGACTGCAAGCATATTTGGGAAGAACTTTACTTCAGCATGTTGTAGTGTTTCATGGAGAGTGGAAGGCCAAGTCTCACCTTTGCATTTTTTGCTCCATTTAACCCACCAACAGCGGAACTCAGTGGAGAGGCTATCATCTTCTGGTTTAGCAGACTTACGCTGCTCTATAACAGAAGGGACCAGTGACAGGTACCTCAAAGTCTTCAGATGGTCCTCACTGAAGAGCTCATTCATTTCTTTGATGATGTGGTTCAGCACAGGAGCAGACAAATGGTCCTTGTAATAACTCTGTGGCTGAACGGTTCCAGATTCTGATTGATGCTTTCTCAAGAATGACCGAGGAACCTTGACTGGGATGTCCATTGCAGTGGCTAGGTTAAGGGCTTCATCATGCCAAAACTCATGATACACATCAATGTTGTCAGACACTTCCTTCAGGGAGTGCAACACAGCTTTTAAATTGGTCGCAGCAAAATAGGCATCTGTTGCTTTTCCTTGCACATTCTTCCCAAATGCTCGAGTAAGTGTCAGAACATTTTTCAGCACAACCAATGCCATGACAAACTCAAAATCAGATAGTGCTTTTGAAATCTCTAAGGCATCGTGTGTAACCTGATCGCTCCACCTCATGTCTTCGTTGTCATGCACGCTGTCTACACAGAGTAGCAGTGCTTCTAGGATTTCAACTGCCACCTCAAACGCATCATGTCCTCTGGTCCAGCTGGTATGACAGATCTCTTTCAGTTTGTTGGCTCTCTCCTCATTGTCTGAACAGAAAATCAAAACAGCATGCTCCAACTCCAACTGCAGTGAAGGGGACTGACTGAAAAATGACTCAATTTTCTTAAAGGTAGACATGACAAGCTGGACTCCTGACAAAGCCATGCCACTGGCCAGTGACAAGTTCAGTGTACGAGTAGATCTCAGTGTAAGCACCGCCATTGGATACCTTTTAACCACTGTGGCAGCAAATGATTTTATTTTACTGTAATGTGTTGAAGAGCTGAAGTGAGCTTGACCTCTACACTGTTCCATATCCAAACCCCATTTGTCAGTCATCTCAGACAGCAGATTCTCTGCCAGGGCTTCTCCATCTCCTTCAAAGCTCAAAAATCCAAAGAACCTCTCCTGCTGGCAGTTAGACTGGTCCACAAACCGGACAAACACAGGAAGGTACCATTCTCCTGAGACCTTCACCGGATCATCAGTTAGTAATGAGAAAAGGCCGTTTTGTGTAACTTCCTCCACCAGCTTACCACGGATGTATTTCTCACACACCTCAATCAACTGATTCAGCTGAGCTGAGGAACAGCACTCATTGCTCACATCATACCTCTTCTTTAGGACTTCATCTCCACAATTCATGCGATATTCTAACAAAGCCTGGAAGTTGCATGACCCAAGCCCATCTTGTTTATTGTCACTAGGCCCAGTAGGAGGAATGCTTTGCTCTCCCAGCAGTACAAGAACTTCAAATAATGACTTGAGATACTCTTTGTATTCCTCTTCCTCTGGTACTCTCTGGACATCCTTCCTAGCTGTCTCTACTGGAGACTTTTTGATTTCTAAAGAGAAACAGAAACAGATGCAAGATATACACCAAATCATTGATGCATGTTTTGCCAGATGCAGTTGTGGGACCAGTTACATTTTCTTAGTCAAGAAATAAATGTGTGTTCGTGTGTGCACTGGTATTTCTACTCACTTTTTCTCCCCTTACTCTCTGTTTCATTATCTATGGTCTAGAAATACAAAGGGACACATTAAGAATGTGATTACATAAAAACTACAAAACCAAATTATACTAATTATTATTTCACATTTAAAGCATTGTCCTTTACCTACCGTCTCTTTGTTGTGCTTAACCTGTTCATGTTGTGGTTGGCCTGGCACGTCAAAGATAGTTGGTACAGCATCATCCTTCAGCACTATACTCTGAGCATCCTGGAAACAAACAAGTCAAACCAAAAGGTTCACTATACAGCACATATAAAGACTGACTCAAGAATATTACTCTTAAACATATATTAAATACCTATATCTAACATTCACTGAGCAGTACACAACAGTGTATTTTAACTAATTCATCAAATAATATGCAGAACTGGATTAGGACCTTCTCACATCTCACTTGAAGCCTTAGCAATTACATTACTCCAAAGTCTATAATCACAGTATTCTTCACAATTTGGTCCAAAATTATGTGCGACCTGGAAAGCTAACTTACACTATCGGTTGAAGATGCTTCAAAATGCTTTCCACAAAGTCTGTAGTATCTGTGCAGCTCGTCTGGTGATTTGTCCATGAGATCTTGCCTCTGGCATTTTTCAACCCACTGCTTGGACCTAAAAAGAGAGGTCTATGTTAGCTATGTTTAAACGTGTTTATTAAAAGGCAGGCTACAGGACAAAATTCGTGCATTAGATGTTGCTAAACGAAAGCTAACATTTCAGGCTAGCTTTAACATGCATGTCTTGTATTTCACCTGTAATATTACAGACTGAGTATGCCGCCAGCTTCCTATTTGCTTTAGCATCGGCGTTAGCATTATAGCTGGTTACCTTGTGGGATCATGAGGAAACCTGAACAGTGGCTGTGCATCAGATTTGCAATTAGTGCAATTCGACACAACACAATAATTTTGCATTTTAGGTTTGTATCACAAATCAGCCTTTAGCTGTGAGATCTTTTTTAAGTCAGTCAACTGTTAACGCTAGCTATCAAGACACTTGTAAAGGAACAACAAAGCAACTTCCGATTTCTGCTTTCAAAATAAGCATTGTATGATAATATGTTAGGCTGGGTTGAACTAACAAGTCGAAAAGCATGACATTAAATACCCTGCCCACCGAACAACCCGAAAAGATTGTTACTGATTTGTTTGTTCTTATCTGTTGTACATGTAACCTTAAACACCACACACCAATTATCTAGTTCTTGCGTTGATTAATAGTAATTTTGATTTTATTTTGAAGGGACATTTCGCTTGTTTGTTCAGTGCATCCATGGTTGTAACACTTGTGCATTAAATGAGCGCGCGAGTCGGGCCTTTCCCATAGTTCTTAGCGGTCTTTTCAAAGTACAAAACAGTATAGAAATATCGAGAAATATAGTCTAGAATGCGCATGAGGCACGTCTATCTGCGACACGTCAGTGCGACCGACATGTCCCCAGGGGCGAGGCAGCGGCTCCTAATGCATGTCAGTCTATGAGAGCAGGACATTTAGCCACACTAAAACCATCGTAAATCGCTTAATTTACAGTCCATTTTCCAGCTGTTTGGTTTGTGTTGGCAGGGTACACAATTATCTTTTTAGTTGCATTTCTAGTGAAATGCTCACATTTTTCTTATTTATATTTTTATCTCATTTTGTTTACATACCATTTTTATACAGAGTATGTGTTATGAAGAGTTGCAGTTTAACAGTTATAAATTCTGATAAACCAGTCATACAGCTGTGTGCAACTGCATCCAGAAATTACTCAGAAATGCATTTATAGCCAATGGAAAGAATTTGCCAGTGGCACTGACTGTGCACACATGGTCTAGAAATGTCAAAACTAACAGATCACTCCTGCCTTTGTCTGTCCAGTCTTGCCACAGTCTTTTAATGACAGCTGCTTTATTATTAGAAACATGTCTTGTTTTTCCTAGAATTGCAACTGTCTTTACCAACCTATCATGAACATATTGTATCTTATATGTGGTTTTCAGCAGATTTTGTGGTCTAATATTATACCCAGAGCCAATCCCAGCCGGGATTTCTATTCATATTTACCTACGACTAAACATAATGTTTAGACCTACAAGAAAACTGTATAGGATGTCTTTGAATTTCAAGGGGTATGGTATATTCAGTTTTGGATTGAGATACATCACAAGATTTGTTATGCTTCTAAAGAATCATTTATTTTAAAATCATTAACTTGTCAGTCTTGGCATTTAAACATTTACAGTGGCAAGAAAAGGGCAAAAAACTATATCTGATAAAATGTGATCTGATCATCTAAGTCAAGTACAGACAAACACAATGTGGTTAAGATCATAACAAACAATCAGAATTTTTAAAATCTTTTTACTGATCACACCCATTAAACTTCCAAGTTCTGGTAGAAAAAGTAAGCAAAGCCTTGGATTTATTAGCTGTTTGAAGCTTCTTTGGCATCAGTAACCTCAAGCAAGTGCCTCCTGTAGCTGAGGAATAGACTTGCACAACATTCAGGGGGAATTTTGGACCATTCTTCCTTACATATCTATCTATCTATCTATCTTATTCTACTGTCATTCACCAGCTGTTCTTTTGTGAATATAACACCGGTTTTCATAAAGGCTGTAATTAGGTGTGGCTTTTTTTGCATGGACCGGTATAAGTGGAATCTTATTTAGATTCAAACATTCAATCAAGAAGGAAAAAACGCGTGGGATTGCAAAATTACGCTTGTCTTCTTCAAATCTCGTTCTTAGTTTGGAGACATTCCCCCAGAAAATGTAAGACATTCTGTTGGTTAACGCTGATCTCTCGCGATACTAGCATATCCAATCGGGGCGCATTAGCGCGAAGTCAAATCGAGTGTTTTTTCTGGACTAAGCCAAGCGATCGTTGTTTTATTCCAGAGTTGTGGTACACTCCTGAGCTTTTTCCACTGTTCAGCAAGGTATGTTAACGTTGTTTATTGTTAACTTTGCTTCAGTATACCGTAGTCAGCGCCCCCGGATTACAGTACATAATTACGGATAACTGTTAATGCTCCATACAGCTAACATCTAAATTCCCGCTAATATTAATGTTTGACGTTATCCTTCATGTCACCAAATGTTGATACGTTGTGCCTAAGTTACACGGTAACGTCACGTTAGATTACAGTTACTACCACTACAATAACTTCAAGAGAAATCTTTCCGTAAAGTTTAACGCTAGCTAGAAACGTAAGTTTATTGTTGCGTTTGTCTTCCAGAAGACTGCTGGTTTAAGTGGTACTTTACACAATGGACAACGTAGCCGTTTCAGGAAGAAAGCACACAAATAAGAAAGTAAGTTAACGTTGGTGACAGCACACAAAATTCTTATTGTTGAATGTTTCAGTTACAGTCAGTTTTTCCCTGTTTTAATAATTAGGGGAACAAAGAGAATGCTGAGCCTGCACATGGAAGCAAGTCTTTTATCAAAAGAAGTAAAACGTCAGGTGCTCCACTCCAACTGCAAAGCAATGAAACCGTGGCAAAAAATGGTCTTAAAGCCAAGCCCAAACAGGCAGGCAATAGGTCAGTGCCTGCTGAGGCTCTGAAACAGCTGAATACCATGCAGAATGCTAGGAAGGGAGCTGCTGCTACTGATGTCAAACCACGACAAACATATAGTCGAGCCTTTCTTACAGAACAGGCTGTGAAAAACAAAATACTTAATGAAGCTACAAAGCCACGAACTAATGTGCCATCATCCAAACCGGCTCTAGGAATGTACAAAGGTAAGATTGTCCAGTCAAAAATTGGATCCATTTGGAAGTCAAGTGCCTCTGTGGGTGCTGTAGATCCCAAAGCATCAGCAGCCAAAACAGGGTATCAAAGGGTTGGGAATGTGACACAAAGAAAGTCAAAATCTGTCTCTGACCTGCCTGGGCGTGGCACACAGAAACCTGCATCAGCAAAGTCATTTTCTAGTAGACCTGCTCAAGTGTCCAAGGCCGCTGTCACCAGCCACCCTCCTGTCAGAACCATCCCAGCAACACTAACCAGTACCAGCTCCAGGAACACTACTGTGGCTACCACCAATGGAAGTCGGACAGACAAGATCAACAGGCCTCCTATCTCAAGCACCCTCAGCCAGTACAGATTTACCATGGAGACCAAAGAGGAGAGAAGGTAATACTTTTTTTTTCTACACACAGACACTTCATATTTGCCTAGTAAATCAGAAATGTTCAAAATGTATTGGTCTTCTGTCTCCAGAGCAAAACTGTCAGAGTGGAAGGCATCCAAGGGCAAGACTTTGAAGAGACCGGCCATGACAACAGTAGCACCCCCAAAGACCAAAGTCTCTGCAAAACCTGAAGCTGATCTTAAATCCCAGCCACATGCTGAACCCAAGGCTGCTGCACAGTACAATCCTGAACCCGAACACAGTCTGGAAGCACAGAAGTTGGATTCTAGTGCTGCTGCTCATTGTGTAGCTACACACAACCAAACTCCAGTCATCATGAACACCACCCTGGTGCTGCTGGAAAACTCTGATGATGATCTGCCCTTTGACCCACAGGATGGAGTAGACGATGTAAGGAGACAGACAGTGTATCTGTTGTTGTTGTTTTAGCTGAATTATTCCAGAGTGAGAAACTGTATTTTTGTTTCCATTTTGACAGATTGTTGTGAACCTGTGTGATGCCTTGGAGGCAATGGTGACACCCTCTAGATGCAGTGGTGGTAAGTGAAACTGTCTTCTGTGATTTGTTTAATGTTGCATTTCTTTTATTTACCGGCATCAAAATAATTGATCTACTTGGGCCACTGGCACTTGTTTAAAAATTTATAATAGTTATTCAAACACTCATGTCATTTTTCTCCCTAAGAACTTGCACAGGTGGCAGATGAGTGTCATGATGTTGAAATGGACAACCCAAAGGATAAAAGTAAAAAAGAGATGATGACTGAAATGTCAGGGGATGTTGGCAAGTGGGCAAAGGTTGAGCAAGTGAAGAATGGTGAAGACAGTGGACACGAAGTGGAGGTGGATGATCAGGAAGTAGAAAGTGATGATAAAGAAGATGTGACCACAACACAGGAGGGGGGTGCTTCAGTAGTAAGATACAGTGTGAAGACAACTCCATACCTGGAAAGGTAAAGACCTCTGATTCTCAGTACTAGCATTTTTTTGTCGAAGATAAATAGTATGATAATAGTAAAATAATTGGTTTCATTAGTCTACCTTAGATCAACTGACAAAATTTATTTCTGCTTATACAAGTTTTTTTTTTCCTTCAAATATCTGTCTGTAGTGTCAAGAAGGCAATTGGTGAAGCCAGGCCAAGTACATCCAGGAGAAAGAGCAACATCAAAGATCTGAAGTTTCTGACACCAGTGCGCCGCTCCTGTCGCATCCAATGCAAATCCTCCCAGCTGCCGTCCATGCTGGTTGACCATGATGCGTGTGTGTCGTCACTGGCTGAGCTGGTGAGGTTGGATGATAGTCCCAATGCCTATATTTACCGAAAAAACCCTGCCCTTCTGGAAGATCTGCCAGACCAGACCGGACTGTAAGGGGTGTTGTAGCTATATTAGTTAAAAAAAACTAACACACACACACACACCATTCAAAAATGTATGGGGTGACACTAATGGACACTTAATATTGATATTAACATGGTTTTAAGCTCTGCATGTATTCAAACCACTGTCAGTCCATTGTTTTGTGGTATTGCAGGAAGAATGTAGTTTTCTGAATGTATTATAAATACATTTCCTTAACTGTTAATTTTAACAAAGTTGACAAATGCACTACAATGACTTTCTTCATTAAATGGTAGTACTTTGATATGAAACTGAAATTTGATCAATTTATGTTATTATACATTGTACCTGAAAGTAAACAGTCTGTGCTGATGCCAATGAGTGAAGACCAGTAAACAAGCAAATAAATATCCTGTGATAACCAGAACCAGCCACTGGATTTTAGTTAACCTTATGGTGCAAGGTACAGCTTTTATAAAATTTCTCAGTGAATGTGCATGGTTAGCAGGTGTCAAATTATTTTCTGC